CCGGGGTGCAACCGGACCGGCTGGGACCGGTCCGGTCCAACCGGCCGGTGGCCGGTGCAGCCCTGGTTGGACCATAGTCCAGTTCCTCCACCCTTATATTTATTGACATAGACAATTCAAAGACAATTCTGGTGACACAAATTTTGGGCCAGTTTGACATTCAGCAACTAACCTTCGAGAAAACTGCACTCATGGCAAAAGCCATTGCAACCAAGGAGAGAGTGTATGGATAAATCGTCAAGAAGACTGCAATCATGCTCGAGTGCCTCAGAAGCGTTGTCAGCCTTGCAGCGACCACCTGAATTTTGCACAACAATGGAAAAGCGTGCGAGCACAGATTACAAGAAATTAAAAATCTGATGTTACGTTTAACAGGAGGGAATCTGGTTTCTTGGAAAAAGAAACAGTACTTTGGATGCCATCGGTAATGGGTGCCTAGCAATTCACTGATCAACCTACAACCCCATACATCAAATACCCACAAACTGCCCCTGCACCAATCTCCTCCTTTTAATCAGGCATGCCTCCAGACGTCTCTCTTGAATTTAATGGCGAACCTGGTCGATGTTGGCTACACGGGCAAAGGTGCAAAATGTCTTTCCTGAATTTACTGGAGAACCTGAGAGCTATGAAACACCCCCACATGTAAATGGCCAGTGATGCCCGGTCCAGACAGATCAGACTCACCTAGGACAACCATGCACTATCTAAACCAGGGGCGGAGGAGCAAACAAAACAGAAAAAAAAGGAAGGGAACCGCATTCAAACGGGGGTACGGGTACAATTCACATGTCCTCGACCCGCACGCATGACACACCTCTACGATGAGGGACCTAGCTAACGCGTTAAACACTCCGCCTGGGGAGTACGGTCGCAAGGCTGAAACTCAAAGGAATTGATGACGGCCTGCACAAGCGGTGGAGCATGTGGTTTAATTCGATACAATGCGCAAAACCTTACCAGCCCTTGACATATGAAAGAAACTCCTCGTAAGAGAAGTACTTTGTGGTTGTGTGTAGTGAATTGCTGCCAGAGGTACGACAGGACTGGGATGCGTCAACCTATGGTAGATCCATGATGGTAGGAGACCAGCATTTGGCCTTACACCTGTACACTGTAGTTTTGGCAGCAAAAGAACACACTGTTCACCCTTATACTCATGATCCTAGAGGCTCTGGAAGGGGGTTCTTTGTTTTCAACAATAGCGATACACATCACTCATCTCCACTTACCCCGAAGTTTTTACTTTCCAAACACGTTTTCCTCTACATTGGATGGTTCTTTCAGTGAGAACGAGGTAGAGACTGTTTGGTACACATCACCCGTCTACTCTTACCCCGAAGTTTACTTTCCACTCACGTTTTGGTCTACCTAGGATGGTTCTTTCAGAGAGAACGAGGTAGAGGCTGTTCCTCCACACACACCTTGCATTACCCCGTACTTCATACATTGATCTTTTTTCCCCCTTCAATAATATGATCTTAGTCCATGTTCATACATCAATTTCCCTACCATTGTTGGTGGTTATTATTGCACTTGTTGATCACGTGTCTTTGTTTCAGTTCGTCTTCTGTGCCAACTCTGTGTATTCCCTGCCCAATATTGGCACAGTGATATCGCTCAGAATCCACCAGGAAATCGGGAAGCCAGGCATCGTTGAACCCTGTGAGCTTAGAACTGATTCGTCGAACTCTAAGAGATTGACAGGGAGAAGGAATCGCTAACCCACAAGCTCAAGTGTGCCCCATTTCGGAGGATCTCAAGTTTTAAGGCCATCTTTCAGGCTGTGGTGAGGACAGTGTTTGCTGAAGATTAACGACAGTCGCGACCAATGTGGTGAGGACAGTGTTTGCTGAAGATTGACGACAATCACGTCCAAAATATTGTTGCCATTGTTGTTACTTTTTGCTGCCAGCCAACACAGTCGTTGAATCCGAGTTTGTTAAACATTTGAACCAGCTTGGCGCAAAGCACAACAAAAAACCTTTGTGTACTTCACATGTTCAGACACATCCTTGCCCCAAACCGTGGCCTTGGACGATGTGAGGGCAAACAGTATTAGGAAAGCCAATGTTAGAAATCATAATTGCGTCTTCATCCCTAGCTCACCATCACACCCGCTGTGATAGCCGACATCGTTGCATACGTGATAAGCCAAGAAATCCAATAGACACTTTCTCTGAGTCCCATTAGCAGCATGCAATCCTGCAAAAGTGTTCCACCAGAACATTACAAACAACAACAGAACAAAAGTCACTGGTTGCCTCTGAAAGTTGTGTGAAAACTCTCTCTCTCTCTCTCTCTCTCTCTCTCTCTCTCTCTCTCTCTCTCTCTCTCTCTCTCTCTCTCTCCCATGCACACACACACACTCACAGAAACATACACATGCACACAAGCACACATACATAAACAGAATCACACACTCTTGCACACATACACGTGCCTGCATACCAACCGACACAAGAAACGTCAGCACCCAAGGGCCACCCACTATCTTCTCTGGCAGTGAATTGAATGCACGCCAACCAGAAACTTAATGTAATGGAGGGCTGTTAGTGACCCCCTCCAATTTTCTTTCTTTGCACGATGTTTCGCGAGTGCTCTGGCAAAGCCCATTCTCCCACGATATTTCGCCCTCAGGGAAATGCATGATTGACCGGGCACTGCATGGCAAAAAAAAGATTGTGTAACATTCCGTAAGAAAGAAAGTGAGAAACAGCGTGCAGAGGAAACGACCATGAAATTCAATGACAACCATAGCCATCACTAACACAGAATCACAGATATTTTGCTCATGCTAAGTCTTCGCCTGAATACAGCGTACGGTCATTATGGCTTTATTCGGGACAACTTTGAGTCTAGATACAGCGATAATGACCATGCGGTGTCTTCCGGGGAAGACGGTATCCAGAACTGGTAAAAGCAAACGTGCATTAACAAACAATCGATAAGGCCCAGAGAACTTTTGGAATTACACAATTCAATGATAACTGATGCCCAAACAAAAAGAAAAACAATTCCATCACTGCAGCTTCACCACCAGACCAGGCTACTGTCCTCCCCTGAATAGAATGCATCCTCATTATAGCTGTACTGGAGCAAACTTTCAGTCTATATACAGTGATAACGACCATACGTTATTCGGGGAAGATAGTAAGGGAAAATAAAAGGTTGCAGTGGGGTAGATTGGGGCAGGGTGCACTTGGGTGGGTTTGGGCGAGGTAGGGCAGAAAATTCCTGACAGTCTTTAAACTTTTTTTGGTTCTTTTCCACCGAACATTAAAAAGGAGTCCTGAGTCTGCTGAGACCTGACTGTAGGCAGTCTGCCAACCAGTCTTTTTTTTTTACAAAACACTTAACACCAGCCATCACTTACCACCAGTCTGTAGAGGGCCATCCACTGATTTCTTAACGAATCTGCATTCAAGACTATACTGCGCTTGCTGAGTACAGCCCAAATCCGCTGAGAAATTTTTGGGGATGGGGAGGGTATAAAGGGGCATAGGGTGGTTATAGAGGGTTAAGGGGGAGCTATGAGGGTGTCAGGGGGTGTGTTGGGGGGGTGTATGGATTTGGGTTTGTGTGTGTGGTGGTGGGGGGGGTATGGAGTTGTCGATGAGGTTATTGGGGGTTCTGGAATCTGGACCCAAAAAATTATATATATATCGTCAAACAGAACTGCCCGGTAAACCGTAGGCAGAGAGGGAGAAGAGGACAACAAACGAGGGGCTGTGACAAACTGTTTCGTCGGAGTATATATGTATATTTTTTTGCGGGGTGCCGACCCACCGCCGACCGGTGGAACGTTCAGCTCGTCAGCCCCCAACTAATCCAGGGGTGCCAACAGTTACCGTGACTACTCTGCCAAAAATGCCAACTTGAATGTACGCTGTCAAATACCTAAAACACCCTTTGCACATTCAGCACTCTGATGCCAAACACAAGACCATCTGCATAGCACCTCTGTTGCTCATGGCCTGCTCCAAACAACATCACTGACAGAGAAGGTCGTGTGTTACCTTGATAAGGCTTTCCTTTTCATGAATCAGATGAAGCAGCATGGTGTGGAGCAAAGGGGCAAATGCCCAAACCATGTAGACGGCAGCAAAGAGCATAAAATTCGGAGATGCAAAAGAGTTCTTGTACGGTGGCAGCCCTTGCTGCTGGGTCCCAGTCCACCAAAGGCCTGTGCTGTTGCAAGTTGTCGGAAACGCAGATGCTGCCGCTGCCTTTGCAATAGCACCCTCCATTGCCAAGAAGCCTGTCAAACACCCGTTACCCGAAAGCACCTGTCAAACCACCAGTTCCCCCGAGGCTATGGTGTGAAACCGAAAAACACCACCTCCCAGGCCTGCCCAGCCTGAAACATCCCTCCTACCAGGTCACACCGGCCTTGATTGAATGCATTTGGTCTGGCATGAATACTTTTTGATGGGCCAAACCATTTTCTGGGTGGCTCGGTGTACATATACCCAGGTCTTCTGCACATACCTAGACATACTCATGTACCACAAAAGTACTCACGGACACGGGCGCCCGGGTCACGCCCAGTTTGGCGACCGGGTGACCGCCCGGGCATGGGCCCGCAGCACAAAAAAAAAAAAAAAACTCCAAAAAAATCTGAAAAAAACATATGTTGTGTAGAATTGCAATACAAACAACTTTTGGCTGAGGGTCACATCAGAATTCCTCACGGAACTCGAGATAAAAAAACAGACAAACAAACAAACAAATTGCACCAAGGCACCCCCCCTTAAAACCCTTTAGTCCCTTCAAAACTCATTCATACTCCCCTTCCCACCCGTTGACAGCCAACTCTCAACAAACGAAAAGAGCCCGGATTTGGGCTCCTCTCAGAAAGCGTGGAAAAACCCCACCGCCAATTTTATTTTTATTTTTTTTCCCCATGCCCGGGTATCCTGGGCGTCAGACCCCCCTGGGCATCACACCCGGGTGACTGGCCGGTCCAGACCGGCCGGTCATGAAAATCTTCCTAGATTTTTTCATCACCGTCAAATAGAATTAAAAATCCCCAAAATTAGCGTACTCGGAATTTTGCACACCACCACGGTACCCCCCTTGGACGGTAGGCCGACCCTATGACTTTACCCATAAGCATTTCTGAATAGCAGGGGCCCGAATTCATCGTTTAAACGAATGGGCCTACCAATCAAATGATGTTGTTGTAATGTGCGTCAACACCACACAGCGCATGTCAACATTCCAGGATCCCGCCTCGTGACTCAATGGCACACATGTTACTACTAGCAAACAGACCATGAGTTCAAATACTGACGGCTACAATAATATGCTTCACCTTTAGGGGGGTAAAACACCAACACATTCCTGCTCGCACCCACATACATCCATGCGAACCCCCACGCATCCCTTGGCATTCACCCGCATCTACCAATTCGCAGGTGCAAACGCGTCCTACTGGAACACGCCTGCAGGCAGACCTGAAAAAGACACGACAAAAAGAAAACAGGAATGAAGTATCGAACAGGGGAGTGGGGGGGAGATATGCAGATGAAACACAAAACCATGGATCAGTGGCAGGAATGATGAGGAGAGGAGGGTCGTTCTTACCATCCTCTCGTTGTCACCCTGATTACTACCATACTTGTTCAGTCACTCCCCCTCTTCCTCCTTTTCTCATGCTCACACTTCTAGTTATGCAACTCAATGGAATACTTTGAAATCCCTACCGGTAGTCTTCCACGCCATCAAGGCAAT